AAAACCTTAAGACTTAATAAACAAAAAAATTGATATTTTGCATATGAAAGCATTGTAATGTTTACTGATAATCTGCCAAATTTCATTAACATACACTTACTAATTTAAAAATTATAGCATGAAAACTATAACAAGCACAAAATGGTCATGAGGTCTATCCCAGGGACTGAGCCCTGAAAGAGTTAAGTAAAGAGTGATATACATATAAGATGAAACAAAAAATCTCCACAATAAGATATCTTGTTTTCAAGACACCACCATTTTCTTTTTACTATCTTTTCTTATATTTTTAGAAATCACTGATTTCTACTGAGTGTATTAAGAGAGGTCTGCTGATTAATGGAAGATCAAAATATTTACTGCAAAATAATTCTACATTCTCCGACTGAACTTGCAAGAAGTAGAGAGAATGTGTACAAATGTACAATCACAATAAACAATCCTTATTGTTATGCAAAATTTGTACAAATAACAAATTTTGAAAAATTCCTTTATTATTATAAGCAGATAGAAAACACATGGTATGCTTATGTACCACACCCACAGTTAAACAATAATGCAATGTAATTCATAACATGTACAGATGTTATCTGCAAGTGATTACAATGATACTCCTAGTTTTGCAAGATATCCTTTTGTTTCTGAACATTTATAGTACATTTTTTCAATAAAAGCTAATTACACTAACTATGGATCATTGGTTTGTAATAACATCACTTAACACTGTTAGGCAATAAAAAAACAATATAATTGATTTGATATTTTTGTGACCTTTCATTATAAAAGTTCTAGGATTCAGATCAGAGTATGAAAAAAATATACTTGCTTTTGTTGTTAACTTTGAAGGTAATTAATTTTGTACTCAACTGAAGTCTAAAGCTTTCAGACTTCCCAAGCATAAAATAAATAAGGACAAGCTTTATCTTCATTTGACCTGGTCCTACATCCTTTGGATGATATGACCTCTTAAAAAGCACAGATTACAAAATGACTAGGTATGGTTTATTTGCATAAATCATACACTAATATTATCAATTGATAAAAAAAAAAAACTACCCAATGTTTCTTTATTCTTTATGCAGAACTATAATTTAAAGAATACAACTTTATGAAGTTTAGTTGATATCCCACCAGAGTTGAAATAAACAGCTACATAACATTAAAATACACACCAACAGCAGCAGAACTTCCATGAACATCCCTCTACCAAACTTCATTCCTACATATTTACAATATCAGAATTATTCTTAAAAAAGTTCTGAAATTTCCTTAAACAATTGGGGAAAAATATATAACACACACTGATTGTTTGACTATTAAACATTTAAATGTTTAAGTTTAATAGGAATGGGGAACTAAGTTTAGCAAAATGTCTAGAAGATGAAATTTGTTAACTAACTGTCTGGGAGGTGTGGCTTCAATCTCTCCTCAGTGTAAAATAGTATTGATCCAGCTGTATCACTAATAGAATACTCAGGATTTATGCAGTTTAGAGCAATGGCAAGGTCTTTCTTGACATTACCAGTTGACTTATGATAGTTTAAAGGGTCTTTTTTTCAAATTATTTGTTTTCCTTAGTTTTAGTTGAGTTCATTGAATATGGAAATAAAGAACTCATTTTACAAGAAAAAGCAACTTATGCTTCAGAGTTTTATTTTTAATTTTACATACACTATATATATATAAACACACACACACACATAGAAACATTATTTCAAAAGTTAAGTATACATAAAAATTAAAAGGAAAGGCTACATTATAAACAGTAAGACCAAACAGGTGATTTTTTCACTTTAATTATCACAACAAGCATTAACAACAACAATAAAATGCTGCATAAATTAAAACGATCACCAGGGCACAGGCAGTAATGAGATATATAAGATGTACCCTTGATTTTGGGGTGACTGCAGAAGTAGGACCTACTGTTCACATTCAACCTACATGAGTGTGGTGTTACCAAACTACTTCTTCAAAACTTGTAAAAGTAGAAAAATTCTATAAAGAATGACTGGAAAGCTGTATTATTTTGAAGCTTAGCATCTCTCCTTTTCAATGCTGTGTATAATTTCAACCATCAGGTATACATATTATTTGTCAAGCTTTAGAAATACATAATTTTCTTTGTAGTTCTACACAGTGTTTATTGGTAGATACCAATACAAACTATGTGGCCATAAGAAAAACAAAAGAGAAAATGCATAGTATGTGGTTTAAATGCCTACAGACATTACAAAAACAAAATTTTAGACATTTTTTGAACGACCAATTGTTATTTTTCATGTTGTTAAGGGCCACTTTAAACTTATTTCTTTCTTTTGGTAGGATTTCTTGAAGTCAAATTGGATGACAAGATGTCTTCAAGATGTTTTACATTCATATTATAAGTGACTGTTTCTATTATAATGACAATATCATAAGATATTTAATTTTACTGGTAACTTTACTTGTTAGACTGTTCTTTAGGTTCAGCAGTTTCTTATCTGGTCATGGATTATAGGGTCATGGGTTTTTTTAAGCAGTTTCTGTCTTATATTCCCTTCTTAGTGATACTGAGGTAATTTTCTATTTAATAATGAGGTAGGATTTTGGAATGTCAATCAATACATAGATGAATTGTTCTTCTTAAATTCAATTTTTATTGTCTCCACCTACAGTTCAATTCCGAGGTCTTATTGATTTTTATTCACATGTAATGTTATCTTTGCTTGTATGTATACTGATTAACTCTAAATATATATGTGCATTGCTAAGAAACTATACTGCATGTCTGAGTGAATAAAATGTAATACTGCATTTGAGAATAGATTTTTAAAAGACTTGTTTACCATTTTTTACTTACCACTAACACTATTTATGTGAACGTAATGTGACAGTTACTGTAACACATATTACCCTGAAGAGGGTATAACACAAAATACTGGTTAAATAAAACAAATTATGAAGCACAATTGAAGAGAAAAATGTATCAACTTACAGGTTTTTCTGAAGGAACCTGCCTGTTTCTTTTGCACTATCTTCTACTTTACACATTTCAGATCTAGTACTGGAAGTGGGTGAGGTTGCATGATTGGATGCATTTAAAGAAAGGGAAGTCTCAGAGGAGACAGGTGTCTCGGTCCCAGAGGGCATCGAGTAAGTCAAGACTGCGGTGTCAAAATCCAGGACATTAGCACCTACAGTTGGAAGGCTGGACAAATCTATCACACAACGAACTTTCCTAAAGCCAGACTGGATAAGTCTGTAGTAAAAAAAAATTAATTATTTCACCATGAAAAATCGTAATTTAACAGAAAAATTAAAACTTCATTCTCTTTTGTGCTACTAAGAACATTTAATCCATTTTAATCCATCAGAATTCAACTGAATGGGATGTATGTACAATTTTTAAGTAATTATTTTGGTAACATGTTGCTATCATCAAAAAATAAATTAAAATTTTTATCTAACAATGGATATCTCCCTCAACTGCAGAAAAAGTAGGTGTTTTGAATGGCAGGAAGAGAAATGGATAAATACTTTAATCCAAAATACAAAATAAACAGTCATCTTGCAATTCAGAATACAGGATGTACACAGTTAAAAGTATTTTCTAAATGAAGTTAGAGAAAGTGTCAAAGGAGAGAAACTTTATAAAGTGTACATGCTACCTTGCCAACAGTATCCATAAGCTATCATAAAATGAATGGTAGATTTCTGAGGAGGTGGAAGTTTTGTCATGAATAAGAGATCCAGAAATATTATTACAAATTACAAGTTAGCTTCTATTAATTTGCTAGATTTTTGAGAAAGAGTATTTTGTGATGAATCAAAGATTCAGAAATATTATTAGAAATTACAACTTAGCTTCTACTAACGTGTAGGTGTCAGATAAAATTACAATACATGTCAGATGTTGGTGGTGGCATTACTATCAGAATTTCATCATTATATTTTTGGTTGTTGCTTCAAGCTTGACACTTTATTCTGTGGTTTGATGGAAATTCCTCAATCTCATCAGCCAAAAATCTGATCTTTAGCAATTGCAATGCCTCCACTGGATTAAATGAGGTGCTTCCATCAATACTCCTTTTTGACCACAACTTATTTCCCTGATCCTTTCTCTCACTTGGTTTTCTATCTAGTGATCTCAACATGGATTTTCTTCTTGTTTGGAAGGTTGACATCATTTAGGTATTTCTTAGCCAGTTCCTCCAAGAAACAATTTGATTATTTCCCTTTGATTTATCTTGTTCTCCAGCATTAAATATTTCCTTTATGTCTTTAAGATAAAATGGATGTTTTTGTACCCACACATTTTACCCTTTCTCAGTTGCTTCTTCCACTCCATCAGAAATAGAAATGACATACCATAAACTTTTAGCACCAATAGGGCCATATCTTGTTGACTGTTTCAGTTTCTTGCATCCATGACTGAAAGTTGACTAGCAATTTGCATATCCAAACTTTCTTTACAGCATAAGAGACCATTTCCTCTTGCATTGCCTTCCATTACAGTATGTTCAGAGTCTGAAACTACAACCAGGAGCCTTTTCCACATTTTGTTTTCTTCTCTTTGCCAATTCTAGGTTGGGTATTTATTGCCACACCTGTTACAACACCAAATTCTACTTGAGAGACATTTCCTCTTCCAAGTCACTCCCTCTTCCCCAACCAATGAGGTGTCATCTCTTTCTGATTCTACTGTGATCACATTTGCATTTACTACATTTTTAACAAATGGAGCATCTTGAAAGTTAACTTTGGAGCTGTGTTTTCTAAGCAAATCTTTCAGGCCTCAAAAAGACAACTAGGAGTGCTCAAAAAGGTTGTTTCTCTTCATCCTGCTCAAAAAATTAGTTAACTTTGTATGTGAGATTATGGTTTTGTAACAGAATGCAAAGTGATTTGGAGTAACAGGTTGTGAACACGATTGGTTATGCCACCTCAAGAAAAGAAAATGCCATGAGAAGGCATGGTGTGTGAGTTGGTTAAATGTGGTTGGTAGCCAAAGCTTCTGGTCTAGCCCAATTACAGTGCAAGAATCAACTGGGGGCAGTGAGGTCAGATGTCAGCATGCACCTGTCCTGGAAGCAAACAACCCCTTCCAAATGAAGACATAAGCAGTGATCATCAGTTTATTTGACATAACATTTAAAATACAAAGTTAATAAGAAATAGACAAAACTTTGAACAAAATTTTGACAATAGTGAGAAGTTACACAATAGTTTGACATTCAACGCAGTTGTAACACATGAACAATAGTGAAAACCACAAACAAACAAAGAAACAAACAAACAAAAAAGAACAATTAATTAGCATTTAACATGAACATAGTTGAATTAACAGATCAACAGCAAGATGAAACAGTTCCCAAGAAACTAGTCACCCGGTTGTGGCCCAAATCCATGCCGTGTCATTTACCTGTATAAAGGGTTTTTGGAAAAGGTAAATGCTCATGATTGTTGGTGGTTATGAGTGTTGTAAGGAGAAATGTATGTGTTCCATGTCTTTGGCATATCTGCAATAGTGCTGATTTCAGATAAAATAGCGAATGCTAGTGTTTTAATTTTTGGTAATATCTGGTTGTAAAGGTAGTTATTCTTTCTTTAACATTCTCCAGGTTGCAAAACAGGAAAGTTTAGCGCTATTCTTAGTGTTCTGAGCTGGACTGGTTTCAGTTTACTAAAGAGGTTATCCGACATATTGCCGGCTACAGGGTTGCCATATTTGAGTGATAGCCTTATATGCATTTAACAGATAAGGATTACAGAATGGTTGTTGCACCCTTTAGTGTGACCATTGATTTTAGGCAGATAACTAATTCTTTGGTAAACTTTTGGAAGTGTTTCATTAAAGTGGTTATTCCATTTCAGATTGCTTATTGAATGTCATTCCTAGAAATTTAACTTTTTTGCTGAATTTGATATTGGTATTATATATTTGTAAGCTTACTTTATTAATTTTTTCCTGTTCCTTTTTAACTTCTTTGAGAATACGGTAACCTGGGTTTTGGAAGGGTCACTATGTGACTAGATGATCATGTGTGTGCAGTGAAGAGGGGGTCTCTCGACATTCTCCATACTGTGACATCGTCTGTATACTTGGACCCAGAAGTTTGGTTAAATTCTGGAAAGTTTATGTCATTTACAAAAATGAGATAAAGTAATGGGCTAAGTACAGATCCCTGGAGGACTCCTGCTTGTAAGGTAAATGTTGGGGTTATTTTACTATTGATTTTAATTTCGGCAGACCTGTCAGTTAAAAAACTGGAAATCCACCTGATTACTTTTTTGGGAATGTTGTAATTTAGTAACTTGTATCGAAGGCTATTGTGCCAAATGCTATCAAAGGCTTTTTTCACATCTAGGAGTGCAACAATTGTGGCATGATTGCAGTTAAAATCATGATGAGTTGATTCAGCTAGTCTGACAGGTGGTCTGCAGTTTGTCTCTGTTTTCTGGACACATTTTGTAAATTTGTTAACAAGGTGTTAGATTCTAAATGAAAAAGTAACCTAGCTGTAATAATTTTTTCCAATAATTTGCCTAAGCAGTTTAAGAGGCTTATTGACTGAAAATTACTTGGATCACTAGGGTCACCCCCTTTTTTGGGGGGATAACTGTAATAATGGTGCTTTTCCAATGACTGGGGTAATAACCTGAAAGTAGAGAAAGGTTAAACAGAGAGGTATGATAGTAGCAGGCTTGAAGCATTCTTGAAAACTATGTTTCTTATAACGTCATTGCTGAAAGTAAAATTCATAAGTTCAGAAATGTTTCTCTTGAGTTCGGCTATAGTAATTGGTCTAGAAATGCTGTTGTTTGGTGTACTGTTGAGGTTGATTGATACTGGGAAATTCAGTCTGAAAAGTGTGGCGTTGTCATTGATACACTTATTGATTGTTATGAAGTGATCATTGTTAAAACTGGTTGAATTAGGTGTAGTGAAAGTTGTTTCATGAAACTTAGCAAAGATGTTGGCTTTGTCTTCATCTGTAGCTGTCAAAGTGTTGTGATGTTTAATAGTGTGATGCATTTTAGCCACGGGCTCGTTACAAATGGACTTGAACTTATGACAGAAGAGGGTGTGGTTTGCTTTGTAGTTGTCTAGGCTTTGGCAATAAGTGAGCCAGTTTGCTTCTTGCTGTTTTTTAATGTCATTATTAGCTTTACTGATTTTTGGCTGAAGGTTTGAGTCTTGGGTTAGTATGTAAAGTTTACATAATTGTCACCTTTCTTTGATCAGTGTATGAATTTCTGAGGTTAGCATTGGTGTTTATTGTTTTCTTGCATGTGTCTTCTAACATGTTTTTTACGATTATTCTAATATCAAACAGTTGTGTATATTAACCCCGAGAAAGCCACAAAGGTGAAACATTGGTTAAAATAAAAAAAAAAATATAT